TCTCTTCCTCTTGGTGTCAAATTTTTTTTGAACGGGGTGAGTGACCTGAATTAAACCCAGGCCTTGCACATGCTAGTCAAGAACGGGACCACTATGGACAGCTCTGGCCCATGGTGTCTGTGTTGAAAATTCTGCCCATTGAGTGTGATCTCAATCTTGCTATCAAACTTTTGGTGATACAGTCTCTCTCTCTCTTTTACTGACTGTGAAGAACCAAGGTGGCATGTTGTGAAAAGCCTATAAAGAAAGCGTTAGGCAAGGAACTTTACAATGTTTGTGAGCTGTAAAGAGCCTCTAGCAGCCATCAAAAAGCCAGAATCCTCAGACTTGCAGTCAGAAGAATGGAGACTCTAACAACCTGAGTTAATGGAAGTAGACTCATCACCATTCGAGCCTTTAGATAGAAGCTAAGCCTTGGTTGATGCATTGATTGCTTGCAGAGGACCCAAGTGAGCCATTCCTATTCTACCCACAGAGAGTGTGAGATAATAAATATATGTATGTGTTAGGCCACTGAGTTTGTTACTCAGCATAGAAAATGAATATGTTTACCATATATATATATATATAGTTACTAAATACTGACTATGGTAGAGGAACAATATATATTTGAACCGAGGACTGAACTCAGGCCTTGCACTTGCCAGGCCTGCGGTTATGCCACTGAGCTGTATCCCTAGCCCTATTCAGAATATTTAAGAAGACTCCAGAAGTAATAGATTCATATACTTAAGGAAGTTATGGCAACTTCCTACACAAGGGCCTAAAGTCAAATGGGTGGGAATTTTTCACGTGCAGAAAAGGAAAATTGTTTATAGGTGGACCTGAGCAAAAGACTTTAAAGGAGAATTACAGAATCATACTGAAATTTTGATCAAGCTTTATCACATTTGATACCATATGTGTATATTTCTGTTATTTTGTCTTCTAGGATAAGGAATTACCATTTGCTGTGGTGTGAGTGCATAACCTTGCTGTTAAATCCTCTGTCAAGTAGAGGTAAACATTCACAAAACTTTACAAAACTCAGCAGCAGTAAAAAGAAAATCTGTGACCTGCCTATGTCTTCATAGACTACATCACCAGAAATGTATTTCACGTCTTCTTAGGTAAGGTTTTCTGCAAAGCTTCAAGAGCCTGAATTTTGTGAATGAAACATACAAATGCAACAGATCATAATAAGAAGCAGGAGAAAGACGGCGTTAAGAGAGGAATGCAGATAGCACAGCTATTAATTTTAAAAACCTTGGCAACGATGTTTGAAAACTCCTGCCAGTTTTTCCTCCCAAACATCTGAGGCTTTATGGTTTATGTCAAGGTAACAAAAAGTGATTAAACTCTGATAGCTTATAAAAAGCTTTGCAACAATAATTAATATGTAGGGGCACAGAAACGAGAATTAACCTTGGAACCAAAACAAAATCAATGTGCCCAAGGATAAGCCTAGTGTTGTGGTAACACTGTTGGGTCCTATCATTGATCACTGATGATAACAAAGAAGTGATCAATTATAGACGAACCGTGGGAGTAATAAAACCCAAAATATGTAATAGTCATTGTACAAAAGAGAGGAAAAGAAAGTGCTCTAAACGATATAACTGCATGTATATCTAAGTGTATAAGATAGACAATGATATTACTGAGTTTTGTTGGATCATTGAACAGAACTTTTTGCAGTCTCACTGTTGGAATGTCTACTTTATATGCTTTTATTTTGTAACTTGAACAAATATTTCTAAGATGACGATATATAATCCAGTAACTAGTGATTTTCTACTGTTTATTTTTTTTTCTGAAATTCTGTATAACTTGTACCCTTTTTCTGCCTTTTCCCCCCTTTTCTCCTTAAATAAAATAAAAAAAAAATTATAGACGAATCCTTCTTCATTGCTATCTTTGGTAACAGTCAATGCTTAATAAGTAATATTTTTATCTGCCCTGAGGGAAGAAACAGCAAGCTTCCTCTATCTTTCCCTAGTACATGGTAGGTAGCACTGGGGGCCTGTTACTCACTGTCATGAAGTAGCCTTTTTAAGAACCAACTTTTGTTCAGATATAAGGATGTGGCTTAAGAGTGTATAGAAAAGCCAGGTTTTGCTACTACTGCATAGTTACCAAATATATGGGTAGTACAGACAGGAACAATTCTATTCTGCGTTGGGCATCCAAAATAACATAAAAACTAAGGTTGTAATAGCCATGAAGAGTCAGCCATTGTTTTTTCCAATGACAGTGAAGTCACATCCGCATTGGTTCTATCATTGAGCTGCGTGGCTAACCATTTCCCATTCATGAAGAGACTCACTAAGCTGTCAGTGTGTACACTTAGGTTAAATGAATCCTTTGATAGGTGCATCTTGCAGTTTAACGAGCCTCACTAATAGATAGTATGCTAAGCGCTCCCTCACACTTGAGCTCTTGGGAGCTGTACTTTCATCCTCTTGATGAATTCTTGATCTCATAAACAGTGGTGGGTACAGGTAATAAACAGCTTTTTGTTTTTTATAGCAAGTAAGCTAAGCTGTAAGTTCTGTGTAAAATTCACAGAGGAACAGTAAACTCTTTGGAAATAAAGAGGTAGCAATGTAAAATAAACACTTCTTTGGTCCATTGTTATCAACTCAGTATTTTTTTTTCTGGAAGCATTTATTACTTGGGTTTCATAAGAAAAGTTGATATTTTTAAATGACTCCTCCATGATCCCAAGATAACACTTCGTTCTCACAGTCTAGATGGAAACATGCCTGTGTTGTGCAATTTAGACTCTTTCTCTTGTATAAGATTCCAGAAATGTTTCTCATAATAACTTCTTTATTTCAGTTGTGCCCTCAAAAGGGCTATCTCAAAGCTCACCTTTTTCTTCTGAACTTTTCTACACATTACGTTCAGTTTTATGACAATATGAAAGGTACATATGTGATTAGCTAGAATGATAAGAACACAATCAATTCCAAAGAAAATATGATGCTTGTCTAGAAATCCTTTACCAGGGATAAACCAAAGAGGAAAGAAGCGTGTTATCAATGGTAGTTGCAGTACAACTGAACAGCAAGCAAGGTAACATTACTGATGTCTTCATCAAGCAGTATCTTTACACTGGAGATGAGGAGAGAAAGATTCATAATGAAAGTATATTTCTAAATGAATTTCACCTCCTGCTTCTGAAACTAGTTGACAATTACTTAAAGCCTAATGTTTAGGTAGATGCAGGTTATTTAACATAGTAACACAATTAAGTTTTAATTGTAACACAATTAGGGTTTAATTATTTCAACCTTTCTTCATAATCACTTTCTCATCATTATTTTTGTCAGAAATATAAAGTAGAATTGGAATGAAGAGAGGTGCTCTTTCCATATCCTGTGCATATGTATGCGTAAATCTGAGTGCATTTATGTCTGTTTACAGGTATGTGAAAGAGTAGAAAGTGGATACTTTGTTGATTTTATTTAACAGTCTAACCATTTAGAATCAATTTGTCTAAAAAAAGGATTTTTTAATGCACTTGGTGAGAAATAATTACTTTTAAAATTAAATAACTAATCATGTGAGACTATTTTAATCTTTCTAGCAACGTTTTTTTTTTCTTTTTTGCTCAAAAAGTCTAACAGACTAGTCTCAAAAGAACTGTTCAATGCACATTTGGATATAGTAATTACTCTCATTTGTGACTTCAGCAAGTATACTTAGACCAGCTTAAATGAAGCACAGATTTCACATCATCAGCAGAAAAAAAGAGGCACATAGAAAAGATCTTTGGTTTTCAGTTAAGGAAAAGAAGAATGCTCAAAATGTAGAATAAATATAAAAGCTGAGACTTGTCTCCACTAATCTATTGCAGGAATGCAAGAATTGAATCTCAAATTCACATATAGGTAACTCTGGAAGTATTCTGCTATTGACCAGCCAAAGAAGAAAGAGTTTTCGGATTTTCTTGAAATAACTTTCTAATGCTTTCCTATAGGCCTTGTTTACAGCACAACCCTGAAATATCTTACTGTGTACCGCAACAGTTCTTGTACAAAGAAATAATACCTCTTGCTCTCCCTTAAAATTTTGTCATGCCTATTAATATTTTCTCTACACCAATGTGGAGCAAATCACTGTGATAGTTCTCCTCCAAATACTCGTGCTAAAGACAGAACATTTTTTTGATAAGTTAGCCATATGCATTGATAATGCACATGATTTGTGGAACGAGTTCAGGGTCAAATACCAGTGTTTTTGAGCCATCTTGGTCATGTTACTACGCTCTTTTGAGAATCATCTGGAAAACAGGAGCAATCAGATGTTCTTTATATGATCCATTTGAGGATTATAAGAGAGAATTTTCATAAAATTATCCAGCATAGTACTAGAAATATGGGAGAGAGGGGCTTAGTTTTATTCCATTAGAGAAGCGTGAGGCATGGACAATCAGTGGAAGGTTTTATGAGGCTGAATGATGGTTTCCCACACTCCAGATATACAGCTATGGGGGTGAAAGTTACAAACAGCTGCGGCATTTCTTGCACAGTCATTGTGTAGCGTAAGGGACTTCAGTCAGGAGCTCATAGGCAGCTAGGGCCCAACGCCCCAAGTTATTTTCATTCAGGAGCGCTGACCAAATACGTTCAGATTGACAGTTGAGTCCAATGCCACAGGCTTGTCAGTAGGTAGCACCAAGATCGTGTAAAACATGAAAATGTTGGGACCAGGGAATTAGGTCACTTTAGTTGTAGTGCCAGGTTCCACTCAGTGTTTAGGATTCAGAGTTACTGGGACATTTTCACTCCGCTCCTGCTGAACTCTACTCTGTGGTTATGAAACACAGCAGACTAGTAGTAATAACCCTCTTCATAATGGTTCATAAATGATCAAAAATTTTCCATGAACATATTTCAACGATTAATAAGAAGGCTTTTGTTTTGCCAGTAAATGATTGACACATTATAGTCACTAAAAGCAATAACAGCAGCAACGGACATAAACTGAGAGCTACACCTGTCAAGTGCTACTGCCAGACGGAAGTTTTGCTTATTTGTATCTGTACGCCAATGCAAAGGGAGGCTACTTTGGTGAATCTTTACGGCTTGTACTTCAGGATGGAAAAATTCAAGTCTACAAATAGTTCCATAAATCTCTACGTTATAACTGAGGTATGAACTGTTATTAACCTTTCCTCTGCCAGCAAGTAGCAATTACAAAGTAACTACAGGTAATTCCAGTGGGTTATGTCTCTGAATGTACGAGTGATTTGAAACTATTCTAACTGTAAATTTGAGTTGTTTAACATATACTTTCCTGTAGATGAGAACTACATTTTAATAAGTTATTTCACCTCTCTAAATGCATGACTTTAACTTTTTTACAAGTCAAGTGATTTCATGAGCACAGAACATTTTAAATACTAGGAAGACAAGTTGGAATAAATCAAGAAACATTTCTGTCATTTAAATATGACTTAAACTGAGCATAAAGCAGGAGTCTCAGAAACATCAAATAATTACATAGTGAGTTGAATTATTTTCTTAAATAAAATAGATGAAAGTGTTCAATGCTTCAATTTTTAAATTGTTCACATTCTAGTTTCAATGAACAAAACTGTCAAACAAGCTAACCAGCAGAAATTAAAAATGAAGCTTTCTCCCTTTATTATGTGTTATTACTTGCTTCTCCCATCTTTTTCTCAAATCATACCTATTGCATATCCTGTCTCCATTTCATTTCATTTCTAACCCCTGCTCTCTACACTTAATTCCCCCTCCCTGTATTTCAGTGCTTCAACGTCTTAACAATGTTTTTCTCCCAATATATTACCTATCTGCTTACATAACTTATTTATTCTTAAGGAGATTTACCGTATTTCTCCTAATTATGCTCACTTCTCTCTATTTTTATTTGCTTTCCTTTTGACTGTTGCCTTTTCTCATTCGCACACCATTCACTGATGATTTTCCCGTATTAACACAACACATCTCTCTCCAGGAATGGAGGATCTCATAGCATTCAAACTCTTGTGCTTGGTTACACAGAGGGCAGAGGTTAGGGCATCAAATTAACACGCATTGACCTATTCCACTGGCAAGCTGGATGTCAAGATAGGCAATTAAAGCAATGTACCATGTCTCTTGTAAAAAAATATCTTCTAAAACGTCACCTTCAGATTCACACTTTCTCTTGACAGCACAAACAGTCCCATTACCTAGGTCATGATGTTTTCCTGGATCACTAAGTAATGTCTTGAAATTTACCTACTGTACCCAGAAAACTGATGTAGGTTTTTAAAAGATTTAAATAATCTAAAATTACCCCAAATTCATTTTTACTCCTCATGTTCCATAATAAAATTGCTAACACTTTTAAAAGAAGCTCCAGCCTACAGTAGTAAAGACACACTGTTTCATAATAAAACAAGAACGTTTGAAAGTCAGGCAAAAAACCCAGCATGTTTTAAATCTTACTTTTTCTTAGATCCCACGGGTGTTCACCAGACGTCTCCCTAAATTAAGAAGAAATGTGACAATAATTAAAATGTGAAAATGATGCCATTAGAATACTGCATATTTAGGTGGAACTCGCGGGAAATGTCAAATTCCAGCAAGAAGTGGAGTTTTTGTATTTTGGCATTTTCCTTCACACTTATTGTTGTAAAGAACAACTTAAAACAATCTTTTACAGCAATGAGAAGCAAAACATGCTGTGACATTTCTGGGAGGAGGAATGATAGTTTAAAACTAGTACACTCCATAATCAAACTTCCATGAAACATGCTAAGATAAACCATATAAAACCACCAATATTATTAAAGAGAAACATTTTGCTACAAAACTCTATGAAAAGTTTTTACAAAATAGAGTATTGTTTGGATTTTAAATTTTCTTAAACATTAGATTTGATAAGCAGCTCTAAAGAGCATTAAATTCCTTTGAATAACATCACAGGACTGTAGCGAGGCAGAATCTCCCAAACTTGATTATAATGTTTAAAAAAGAGACTGGAGTGCAAAAATTTTAAGATTGGGCTGGGGACAGGCTTGTTAAAAGTTTAATTAAAAACCTGGAGGTTTATTCTTAATATAACTTTTATTAGGATTGAAAAAGTCACAATGCATGAACGTGTCGCTGTGTTTCAGCAGTCCTATGTTCCTTCACTCTCCACAAACCAGACAACCATCTTTGTATTGTTCCAATGATTTTAGTGAACCTTGTTCATTCTGGCTTCTTTTTTTAAAATAAGAAAATAGATAAATTAATTTTTCTAGGTGAGACATTTCAGCATGTGGAGGTAATCCATTTTTGTAAATTTTTGGAAAATGCTAACAGATTTGAGTTAAACAAAGATCAACACAGGCCAGAGTTTTAGCTCAGTGGTGTAAGTACCTACCCAGCAAGTGTGAGGTTGTGAGTTCAACCCCTGTCTTTCTCTCTCTCTCTCTCTCTCTCTCTCTCTCTCTCTCTCTCTCTCTCACACACACACACACACACACACACACACACAAATCAACAGCGTAAAGGTGTGTATATGGGAAGAGGAAAGCATTGAAAGGGCTTCGACTCAACTTTTGGAGTTGATGGCTATATGTGTTATGATGATTGTGGTGATGACTTCATCGAAATGTAATGTGTTCAAAGCTATCAAAGAGCTTGCTTACATATACAGTATAATACTGTCATTCGTTCTCTAATAAAGCTCAAAAGGAAGTGAGGGCTGTGAAATATAGATTTAATGTAGAGCATGGCATGTATGTAGATAAGCCATTGGAGAAATTAAATGAGTTGGTGTGATAATTTCAGTATTAAAAGATTATCTTGCTGCTGTTTGATGATCAAGTTCTAGAAACACTGATTAGATGTGTGGATAAAAGTGCATATGCAGTCAGAGAACAACTTATTGGCAGTAGAGGCAGAAATACTGGATTCTCGATATAGTGAGTTGGTACAGAGAAGATGCTGAGGCAGAGGATAATGAAAGCAAGGCAAAATAAGGTACCAGGAATCCTGGGAGGGTTTCTGATTTGTTTTGTTCTACTTTCTGTCAATTTCCTGAGGTGTTAAAAATTTAAAATATAATAAAGTTTGAGGAGAATTGAAGGATTCTATTTTCAACATACTATATTTGAAATGCTCCTGAGACAATCAAGGGGCAATGTTAAGCTGTGTGAAAATTTCAAGAACAGAAAGTTTGAGTTTCACAAATAATTTTGAGAATGGTTAGGCCCTAGGTGAGACTGAGTGACACACATGGCAAGGGGGCACAAGACATCGAAAAGGAGTAGATAAAAGAACCCAGAGTCAGGATGCAACACGCCTTATCTGCTTCAGGGATGTTAACATCCGGTCAACCTCTTGCACAACCAGGATGAACCACAAGATAATTTTAATGATTGCATTTTTTCTTGGAATACTTTGTAATGTTTATATTTAAAAGCAAGGAAAAAACCCCATAATATTAAAAACAAAAATATAGTATTTTATTGATTAACGTAATTTTCCCCAGTTTTGTGTTTAGATAACTCTCAAAGGCTCTTATATGTCTAATTGATTTTTTAAAGTTTGTTTTTAATCATTTCATCTATAGTATATATCTTAAACTAGCCATATCTTATTTTTATATAAAACATTTTCAAATGAAATTAAAAGGGAGGCATAGAAATTTTGAAAGAATTTCAAAGAAGTCAACATAATTTATAGAACTTAAACATTCTTTACATGCACTTACAATTTGGGAAAAAACTATGAGATGACTTTGCTGCAAGTAGCTATAAAATTTATAGCTGATTCTCTAAATTCAGCTGCTCATACACAGTGACAGAGATTAATCTCCAACATAGCAGACAATATTGAAATACGGCTGATTATTGCAGAAAGAAAATAAAATGTAATTATTAAATATCTAAAGTGAATGATAGCCTCCAAAATAAATGATTAATTTGAGAATTATTCATGGGAAACTTGGTTTCATTAGTTTCCACTGGATTTGAGCATTTCTGAGATTTTGGCAAATCATGTAATATTAAATTATTGTTTCTCTGTTTGCAAAGTATAAGGTAAAAAATGACTTCATAGTGTTTTAGAGGGGAAAAAATGGATTGATATGTGTAAAAATGCTTTGGATGGTGGAAAATATTATGGGCTGCAGAAATAGCACCATCACAATAATAATGAAATACCATAATTAAAGGTGGTACCTGATATTACTCAAAAGAAATATTTAGCAAACTGAGTCTTGAATTTAATTTGGAATTTTCTAAGTCATGAGTAAGTAAATAACAACTTTCCATATATTGATGAAAGATGACAGTGTTTTCTTTCTATTTTTTAACAATTTTATACAGGTCAAATGTGAAGTTTTGGCATGTATGATAAAAACCAAAGGTCTATTATATTAGCTGGACTGAAACTAAATTCTAAAATATGATTCTTAGATTTGCCCCAATTTTTCTTTTTGTACATAATTGGCTTATTTATTTTATCTTTTATGAACCCGAGTTTCGCTATGTAGTCCAGCTGGTCTTCACCTCACTTTGTAGCCCAGGCTGGCCTCAAACCCACAGGGATCCTCCTGCGTCAGCATTCCAAGAGCTGGGATTATAGGTGTGCATCACCATACCTAGACCATAATTGATTTTTAATCTTGTTTTTACTTCTTTTCTTATTTATTCTTTGTGATATTACTTAATTTTTTATTATCTTACATTTGATCAACATTAAATGAATAATCTAACTTTTCATAAAAATTAAAAATGTATTTTCACAAAAAGCATTTTTGCTGGTGAAAAAATATGTAAAATGTATTGCAGAAAAAAGAAAAAAAGTTTATTTACAGTGACTGAGAAATAACTGCGTTATTCTTTGGTACATAGCATCCCATTTGTTTCATATATATTAGTATACATTATATAAGCTCAGTAATGGTGTTGTGTTGTTCTTGTTTTACTTAATTTTTCCATTACTATCACAATTGATGTGACTTGCTATTACACAGTATTAATGAGACTTTCTATTACATAGTATTGTTAGGTGATGCAAAGTTATTTTAATCTTTAATTTTATGGATGAAACATAATTTGTTAGACTAGTACAAAAGATCATTGTTTCCTTTTTCTTATAAGCAGCTCCATGGCAAGCATTTTTAATGCTACATATTATAATTAAGGATTATATATGATATACATAGGGATTAATGCCTTAGGATGAATGGCTGAACTCAGACAATCAAGTATATTAAATTATAAAATTAATAATACATATTGCTCAATTTTATTTCGTAAAAGATATAATATTTAATATTCTTCCAGACAGATATCAGTGTATGCTTCCTTGTACTACATTAAATTAGTAAATATTTTATGTTTCATTCTTTAAACTTTTACCAATATGACAACTAAAATTATATATTTTTGTTTTAATGTGTTCTTGGCTTACCAGTCACATTGAAATTTTTTTCATGATTTTGATTTGTATAATGATTTGCTTCTGAAATTTGTGTTCATGCTTTTTCTTTGTTGTCTATTAGGATATATATCTTTTATAGATTTACTTCTACTTTAGCGATATTAACTATACATGTAGAGATTTGATTGAGAAAACCAATGATAATATGAATATTTCCAGTGATAACATATGCAATGATTTATCCTAAAATTTAGGAGAAAGTTAAATGTGTTTCTTAGTTCAACTAGAAGCAAAAATAATTTTCAGTAGATGAATGAGTTTACGTAAGCAAAGTTTTATCATCCACTCTCATTGATGTTCTGTTGAGTTTACACTCTTTAATTCCCCCAATATTTTGGATTGTTTACACTGACACATTTTATTCAATGCTATATCAGTTGTAGTTTCCATTTTCTTTCCCTTGAACCTGTGTGAACATGTTTCTCTTTTTTCCCTCACACGCCCAATGCAAGATGATGTAACTGGATTTTCTTGGTATCTTTTGCACTGAGGGAGGCCTCGCTCCACAGCAAAGGTGAGGATAAGCAGCAGCCAGCAGCACCCTCTCTGTAGAAGGTTCCTTTGCTTCCCCAGGAGGCCTAATGTTTTGTCCTCCTGCTAGTATCATTTCATAGAATGTGACGTCGCTCATGTCAGCAGCTGATTATGAATGGAATTAAGAGGCAATTTATGTGCAGAGATAGGTCTTCTCCTCTAATCTTTAATTTCAACATTCTTACTCCTGGATAGAAAGTAGAAGACTTGAAATTCATATAACTTCAAGGATTGTAAACTAGCTGTGTTCACTACTGGTTAGCAAGCATGTGTGCTTCACAAGCATGAGGTGAACTGAAATGAAGCATCGTATAACACTACAGTGCTTTATAATCTGTTCACTATCTCCCAAGATTGCCACCAGAATTTAGGAGAGGGTAAGGAGACATTGTAATGGAAGAAGGATTAATTTTGAAGATATTTAGCAGTCACATGATATTGGATGAGTACATTTATTTCTCAAAATAGTCAGTCTCCTTTTCAATAGAACAGATACAAAAAAGAAAGCAAC